TTTCTAAGGCAGATTTTCCCAATGCTTCACTGTTTATGAAGCATTTTATAAATATAAGACTTTCAATGTCTTTGCATACTTAAGATTCATTCACCCAATTTTACAGATGAGCAGACTGAGACTCAGAGAGACTAAGTAACTACCAGGTTTACACAGCAAACATTATCAGCATGTTTCAATTAACTTTTGCTAACTTAATAATTTAAAAGTGTTATGTTCTCATAGGAGCATTCCCTTACATATTAGTTAAGTATTTCATTTCTTTCCCAGACTTAATATTTTATGTTATTTCAGTTCTATTCACCTGGTCCATTAATTTCATATCTGTACCTTTGGTGAAATATAATTAGTGTCTAATAAAATATGTGTTTTGTGATAACTGTGTTAAAAGTGAAACTTAAAATAGTGGAAATGTAGAACAAAATAACATAGTTACAGAGTTCTCAGTGGTCCCAAGATAAGTACTACTTGTCCAGGTCAGAAGCATCTGGCATTTGAGATAAACATCCTAATACAACTGAAAACTCAAAGTCAGACACTCCAATTACTACCCTAGCTGTTTTTCTTCCTGTTTTCTTAAGAAAGCAGCTAAGTCCTAAATTAAGCACTGAAAATCATTTTGTGAGGATATAGTACTGAACAATGTCAGTAAGAAGAGGTCAAAGGTGTAATCCCAAACGTTCCTACCTTTTCAAATTTGCCTTTCAGAATTTTGTATCTTTGAATTTATGTGAATGTCTTTACGCACATTTCTTGAGTTAACCAGGTTCTGCATCTTATTTCTCTTATTCAAGCTTCAGAGATATTCCTCATATCAAGTAGTCCGGGAGTTAGTGAACAAGTGTATTTGTTCATTCTCCAGATTCAGTCCAATAACAAGCTGCTAGATATTACCTTTTGCAGCCTTTTAAATAATTTTACAATAAAATACGATATACTCTTATTCTGAAAGCAGTTACCTGGCCTATTAAAAAAATCTTTTTCCAAATCTTCCACCAATCTATATGTTAATATTTAAAGTTCCTCATTAGTTCAAACTCACCTAACTTTGTGCACCCTTGAATCTCCTTAACTATCTCTAGCTCAGGTTTGGCATTATGAATATAGGTTTTGTTGTCCCTGCTATTGAAAGGAGAAATCTATTCTTTTGGGGATGCTTCCCTAGTTTGTCTTATGTAAAACCACCTCAATCCTTCATATTCCACCAACTCAGCTACAGATTTTTTCTCTGGTTTTGCATACGGAATGGGAACATCTTAGGAAAATGGCTGGGTTTATGTACTATTTACCCGAAGCACATGGAAATCCACATTTAACATTCTGTATCTTTTTTGGGAATGTTCAGGTATGTACACTATGTCTATAAACCAATGAAGGTCAAATCCTTGGCCCTTAGAGGAAAATCTCAATCTAGCTCTTTCAACAATAAAAGATTTGTTGTATAGAACCCAATTGATAATAATCTTGAGGAGCCAGGTACAGATGTTCTGTACTCTTCTAGCAGGCACTTCAGGTTTTCAAAGTTAAGTAGGAAGAATACATTCACTTACCTAAACCCTCCACTAATATTCAATGCTTGCTCATTCAAGGACTCTTCGGTTTGTCCTTGTACTTCCTACCAAGGTAAAGGCCCCCTCCACCTTAACTTTTTGTACATCCATCTTCTGTTTGTGGAAGAATAGTTATAAACCATATGGACAAGGGCTATATCTTCCTGCGCTAGTCGAGCACCTTAGTAAAGCATATAGTATTGGGGTGGAGAGAGGACAGGTATTGGAATTGGTAAATGTTCCTCCCAAGATTTGTCTTAATATTGACCATGGTTCATGTTTTCTGGTGGAGAAACGAGGTAGGCGTGGGAGTGGTGAAGTCATGCACATCTAAATATAATAGGAACGATGAGAAATTGGAAAATAAAAGTTATAAATTCCACATTCAGTCAGCAGCAGGTGAGATAGGGACAGTTTGAGGGACAAGACAGTGTTTTGCTAAGACTGACACCTATAATACATTTGAAAGCACAATGATGTGCCTAAGAATGAAATTAAGGATTCAGGCAGGATTGCAAAGGATTAAACAGCAGTAGTGCTGTTTTTAATTTAGAAAGAGCCAGAAACTTAAATGAAAATTGAGGCAGGATTCCAAGGGATTCTTTGCAGTTGGAAAGACATATATTTGGAAAAGAATTAGCTTAAATGACTTAATAGAAAATAAAGTGAAGAAACACCTAAATAAATGCCTACTTTGGACCACGTAGCTCACATATTTTCATTCAATTGCCAAAATAAGCCCAAAGGTTAAAAAAATTACTTCATTTTGTCCCCCAACAAGCTCAGGCTTAGGAAGGTGAAGGAATTAGCCCAAGGGCACATAACTCTTTCATCCACCCTGAACCACTTCTGTGAATATCTAGACCACTCAAACATTCATGGAAGGTGAATTTAATACTGGTATTCTTATAACATGTGTTAAGATTCATATTAATTTTGAATTTCAGCACTGGATGATTAGCTAACTATGAATCAGTCAACAACATTCTTTGACCATCTAAAACAGACAAATTATGGGGGATATTGGAATTCTGAAGGAATATAACATCTTATTCCTGAGATGAATAGCATTTGAAGGAGAAAACAGAAGGTGCACAAATCTATAAAAAACATGTGCACACTTTAACAGAAATATGGGTTCACTCAGAATCATTTTGTAAGCAATAAAATGAGAAGAAAGTGACTAGTGATGGTTATTGAAATGCCCTGAGTTACTTAAGGTAGGTTAGATACCTTAAGATTTATGTTTAGAAATTACATTTTATAAAATGTGCCAGACAAAATGAACTTAGCATCGTTTAATCCTTACAGCCACCTTGTAAAGTAGGTAGTAATGTTATTCCAATTTTACTGGTGATGAAACTAAGTCAGAAAGAGTTGAAGCATCATGCCCAGGTTTCCAGAGGTGGTAAGTGACAGAGCTGGCATTTGCACTGTGGCAATACCAGAGTCACTGCTCTTCTGCTGAACTTAGGCTTTCTACTTCATGTAAGCGACCATGTAAGTATGTGGGCTGTGTTTTTCCAGATTCTGACTCCTTAACCCTTGACAAAGCTTCTATGTGAAAACAGTTTCCCATTGTTCTTAGAGGGGTCAGGTCATTAATTTACTCAACAAATTTTTCTTGAATAACCATAATGTGCAACACAGTGCAGTGCTCATGCTGGGGACACAGCAGTGAACAGGTCAGACAAGGACTCTGCTCTGTTGCATGGACTGTGCTGGGCACTTCATACACACTAACAATGCATTACAATGAAACTTCGTTGTGAAAAGAATGCGCACTTTCATTAGACTGAACAAATGAGTAACCCTTAAAAATTAACATCATTCTTCCAAAATTTCTATTGAGTGAGACGATTTGGGTGGATTCCTATTAAGAACCAGAGAACCAGTTTAAATGCCCTTACAGTCTTAAAATGATTTTCTGAATGAAACCTTGAAACACGTATCTATAACAACACGTAGTTATATTTTCATAATATAAGCTGCTCATGTCCATTTTGGAACAGCTTACTCCCACTGCCCAAAATTGCACTTGTTACACACTTTGCTTAGTGCTGTTTATCCCGTAGCTCTAAGTAATTAGTTGTGGAATAGTGTTTATAACAACGTGGAAGGTGAGGTAGGTATAATAGCTATCCCACATTAAAGAAACTACCAATCATTTGCCAAATTTCAGCTGCTTTTTAACAGTTGTTGCTGTTTGTTTTTTTCTGATGAAAAAGGTCCACTTCTAAAATTCATCAAGCTACAGCCTATTACAATGAACCCACATTCTTGAAACCTTCTAAGGTGATCTCAGGTTTCAATAAGCAGGGCAGGGCTCTAAAAATGTTTTCCTCCTCTTGGTTGTATTCATGCTTCCTCACCTGCTCACTGGAGTAGAGAGGTGTCAGCCTGAGGCTCAAAGAAAGACCCCTTGAGAGTCTGCTGACTAAGCTTGCAGCAGGGACCCACATGGCATGACAGAATGGGCTCCTTGCATACATGAAGTTCCATAGTTAGTTACATACCCACGCATAGGCGTGGATATCCATGGATGTATGCATTTTTGTATGCATGTGCTGTGAGCCAGCGTTGGTCTCCCCCTCCTTTATCCCGACCGCTGAGGAAACCCTGCAGTTCCCTGGAATTCAGGGAATAAATAACGAGATGAGGCAAATAGTCCTTTTTCCTTCCCCGGTGGCTGGGACTGCTCAGCGCCCGGAATATGCAATGCCTTCTCTCACAAGCAGCTAATAAAGACAGACTGAAAAGATGAGCAAGAGAATGCATGGATCCAGAAAGGGGCCGCTGTACAAGAGATGATGCTTCGGGAGCTACTGGGCTACGATTTCTTTTTTTTTTTTTTTTAAATATACAAAGCCCTGGGAGGCTGCAGGGGAGGCAAAGAAACCCTGAACCTAAAATCCTGAGATTTTTCTAACAGCTCCTAGAAACCACCGCCAGGCTCCCGCCCCGGTCTGGGTCAAGGAATTCGAGGGATGCAGGCCGGACGCACCGGTTGAAACTCGAGGCGCCGTATCGGCACTTTGAGCCTTGGTGGGCTTTGCGCTAGGAAGACGCGTCCACGCACCATTTTCCCAGGCGTTGTGCGGGGAAACCGCTCAGCTGGTGCCTCGGCAGAGTTTCTGGAAGCTCCATCTCGACTGCCTCCCCTCCCCCCTTTTTGATTTTACCCCCGCGAGGAGCTTCTCCAGCCCCACAGCGTCCGCGCTCTGAGGGGTACAGGTGCCGGCGTCCCGCCGGCTGCCGCCCCGTCCGCCCACGCTGCCTCCTCCGGGCTGGCCTGGGGGTTTGACCCAGCGCCGCCGCTTCTCGAATGGTCTCGTTTAGGGGCGCAGCGGCCGCTGCCCGTCGCCCGGGACTCCCCGCCCTCCCTCGCGACCCCGCGCCCGGGCGGGCGGCGCTAGCGGCGGGCAGGGGGCGGGCAGGGGAGAGGGGGCTCGTCCGGGGGTAGCCGCCTCCTCCGCAGCCTGCCCGAGCCTCGAAGCCCGGACCTGCCTCCGCGTCTTCCTCCAGCGGCTGCAACCCGCCTCCCGCGCCTCGTCCTCCCGCCGCCCCCGCCGCCGCGCCCCCGGTGGCTGCCTCGGCGGACCCGGGAGGGGGCCCGCCGCGTCGGCCGCCTGCTCGGCTCGGCTCGGCCCGGCCCGGCCCGGGAGGCGTGCATGCCCCTGCGGCCCGCGGCGCTCACCAGCAGCATGCTCTATTTCCAGATGGTGATCATGGCAGGGACGGTGATGCTGGCGTACTACTTCGAGTACACGGACACGTTCACCGTGAACGTGCAGGGCTTCTTCTGCCACGACAGCGCCTACCGCAAGCCCTACCCGGGCCCGGAGGACAGCAGCGCCGTGCCCCCCGTGCTCCTCTACTCGCTGGCCGCCGGGGTCCCCGTGCTCGTGGTAAGCCCGGGGGCGCTCGCCCTCGCCGACTCCCTCCTCGCGCCCCTCGCCTTCCGGGTGGAGGCCCCGCGGAGGGTTGGGGCGCGGCAGGCTTTGCCTTCTAAGTTCCTCCAAGTTATGGGCAGCCCCTTCCCCAGAGGACATTCTAGGGAACGTGACGGGTGGGTGCGAAGGACGCCCCCAGCGCTTCCCACAGGCCACCCCCCCACACCCCCGCATCCTCCGCGGTGGCTGCAGCGTCGGGTGACGGGGCGGGGATGGAAGGGAAGAGGGGCTGTAGGTGGTGAGAGGTGGGCATCGGGGTTGCAAAGGAGCTGAGCTTTGGGGGTGAATCTTGACTCCATCTACTCTGTGGCCTTGCCTCACTCACTGCCTTCTCTCCGATTGCGCCTGGAGGAAGAGCAGTGGCTGGCGGGCCGGCGAGGAGACGGGGGATCAGTTGCTGGGGTGTGGAAGGGACTCCCGCTTCCCGAGTCGTGGCACGTATATCTGTTTCACCACCTCCTTCCTCTTCAGATGAAAGTGCCAATGGGACTAAGCTGACCAGGGAAGAAATATCTGAAAAAGAATTTGAGAATTTCTAGATGAAGAGGCCTCAGCAGCAGTGCTTTGCTGAAAAGCAGGAGCTGTGCCTCAATTACCAGAGCACTTCAGATTTATTTAAAGGCTGCTCCGCTCCCTGGGCGGTTTAAGCCCTTTTCTCTTAGAACCTCACAGAGCATGTCTTTTGGATTTATTGAGTCTGTGTGTGTGTGATGAGAGAGAAAGAATGACTGTATAGATACGCACACGTATATATACACATCACATATATACATATGAAATTACTGGGATGTTACACATAATATTAATTTTATTATAATAACTTACATATGTGAATATGCTACAGATTTATTCTGAGGAGAATTGTTGGTGTTTCTTCAGAAAACCTGCTATGTTATGGTTCCTTTAATATTGACAAAGTCTTGGGGGTTCCCTTCCGGTGATGTGCGCTGTCTCTCTCAGTAGATAACACACAGGGAATTAGAAAATGAAGAGAAAAGGAAAAATGAAGTTTTATTTGCAGTAGCAAAATGTGTAAATTGCAAGAATGAATGTTAAGAATGTCTGCTAAGTCCATAAGGTTTGGATATACATCTTCTTTTTTGAGTTTAGGAGCAATTACTTACTAATTTGCAAAATAATGAAAAGTTCCTAACACATAAAATAGAATTCAGTGAACAAATCAAGGAATTTCTTGATAACCTTAAAGAAACTTTTTCACATGTTCTGTGATAGTTGACTTCAAAACCTCTAGCATAATGGTTTGAAATGTGTTAGACTTTGCCCCAGATAATGTTTTACTTTTTAAAATATATATTATAAGTTGCTAAAATTTGTCAATAGCCCCAAATCCAGCCTTCATGTTTATGTTCTTTTCTCTCCATTTCACAAGCTGGCAGAGAAAAAAAAAAATGGTCGTTTTTTGGGGGGGCACTTTTTACTTTCTGGAGATCTGGGTTTCCTGTATATTTTTTCCAGGAAACTGAATGGCCCAGATATTTTTTCAAGGATGGTTTTAAAGAAAAAAGGAAAAGCCTGTCACTTACAGTTCATTGGTTTGGTCATAGCTATAATCAATAATATCTGTAATTCATCCTTTAATTACCATTCTATGTCTTATTTAAATGAGATAGCACTTTTCACTCTTAACCAGCCAGTCATGATGTCAGGTGCTAGTTAGAGACAAGAACACACTGGCCCAAAGATTTGGCTGATTCTCCACTTAGAGGAAATATAGGATGGAGAAAAAGAATGAATTAGTCACTATTTAGTGCCTGCTCTATTCTGGGTGCCAAATAGTCATAGTTGCATATATTTCTCAGAGTAGCTCTACCAGGAGATATTATCCCCAATTAATATTTGAAGAAACTGAGGTTCAGATAATAAATTGGGAATATCTGAAAACAAAAAAATGGTAGGTATGGCATTTGTATGCCTGTAGGACTGATACCAAATGCCATGCGACTTCCACTGCTTCCAAAGAGCTTGTTCTCTGAAAGAAGATTGAAGCTGGCTGGTGAGGCAGGCATTGAGAATGTAAGTGGATAGATTTTTCTAAAGTCAGAATTCAACTTGATTTCCATGTTTTGACTTTTAGTTCTTTTAGGTACAAGAGCATGGATTTGGGAGCCAGTTTAGAAGAGAAGGAAGTGGTGGGTTTTGGAGGATGGCTGTGCTTCCGGCCATTGCTTTCCCTTCTGTTTCTAGGAATAGGGCACTGTCACCATGTGAGGGTCTGAGAGCAGTAAGGGCAGCTCTGCCTCTCCACTTCTCTCAAGAACACTGGGTTAGCATGCTCATTTGGGCATCAAAATAATAATATTAATAATGATGTTAACAGTACCCATCATTTGTTGAGTTATTACTTTCTTCTGTATACTCTGATAGAATTTCTGCATACCTTATATCCTTCTGATATTTGCATTTTCTCTGAAAGCAATAATTATTATTCTCGTCTAATATTTGGGAACACAAAGGCTTAGAAAGATTAGCTTGTTCAAAGACCAAGCCTAACAATGTTACACCCAGAATTCTCCCCTTATTCCAGCATACTCTCAAGTGTGGTTTTCCTATAACAGGATGAAAACTCAATTTGCTCATGAAACATTCTTCTAAATAAATGCCTCAAAAGGTCTCTTTTACATTTTTTGTGCGGTAGTAATAAAGGTTCATATATAGACCTTTAAGCTTCAAACTGATTTCTAGTTCTTGAGTGTAATTTTGAAAAGCAGTTCTCCTCACTACCACAATCTGTATATTTGATTCATACTTGTGAAATTCATTTATGTAAAAATTAAAAACAATGTGTATTTTGAATTTTGTCACTTTTACATAGTGCTGACTTGGGGCCCAGGTTCGGGGCCTAATAAATTTGGATTCAAATCCAAAGTACAGCCAGATGCTTTGTTAAGAGTTGGGAACTCTACTTGCTGTGTAATCTTGAAGAATGTATTTAAGTTCCTTAAGCCTCAATTCCCTTAGTGACAAAGTTTTGCATATCAAATTATAGTTATAATATGCAAGTGTCATCTTTGGCCCATAGTTGATACTCCATAAGAGTTCACTACATCATTAACATAATTATTATTAAGAAAATAATAATTCAGTAAATATTTATTGACTTCCTGTGTTCCAAGCATTATATCTGGCCACGTAGAGGTTTCTAAGGCAACTTCAGCAGTAAACCATAGTAAGTAAGTGATCCTGAGGAGTTTACAACCTAATTTGTGAAATTAGATAAACATACCACAGATCATAATTATGACAGAAGTTATACATGTGTATGTATATATGCATATGCATGCATCTGTATATACCACAAAGACCTCTAGTGGTTCCGAAGAGGATGAGATCACTTTTATTTGAAGACAGGGGAAAAGGCTTCATGGAGAGGATGGTGGCATTTAAGGGGTGTCTGGAAGGATAGGCTGAAACAGAATTTGAGTTAGGACATCACAGAAGCAGTTCCGTCAACAACCCTGTGGAGGCAGCAAACGGAGGCTGTGCTCCTGAAACAAGTTGGTTTGTTTTGTTTCTAAGAGTGGTGTGGGCGGAAATGGGGTATACACCTGAAGATGAAGGCTGGGGTCACAAGACCTGAAATGCCATGCCAGGCTGAGAGATTTTCTCAAATTGGTAGGAATTTAGCAGAGACAAAGTCTGATGGGTGGTGTTTTAGGACATTTTTTAGGTAGTAGTGTATAGGACTCTAATGCTACCAAAATACATAATTTGAAACTCTTCCTCTTCAAGTTTATTTTGTATTGCCTAATATAATTTCAATTGTATTTTCAGAAAACACCTGTAATTTGTGCTTATTTATACTAATGATATAGTTTATAAACTCTTTGAAAACAGGTACTGTTGAGTTTGTTCTGTATAGCATTTGCCAGAGCACTGCATACTGCTTATACAGGTATTGATTTAGTTAGTGGCCCTTAGTGTTCATTGATTGAAAGAACTGGTGAGGACAATGGTTTCTGCTCCCCAGATTTGTATACAGTGACCACTAGCAGCTACTGTTCCTTAGATCTCTGAGCAACATAGATGACTGAAAGGAGATGAAGTTAGATTACTATCTTCATAAAGCTAAAATAAAGATAAAGAAAACCAGCACCAACCAAGGCAGCCCCTGACGCTGAGCACAGCAGGTTTGAACGTTAAGGTACATCTCAGATTATTTATGTCTGCAACCCCAGGAAACTCCCTCTGGACCCTGAGACTCAGATTTGAGGAATGTAGCTATTGCTGCTATCCCAAGGGTGCATGTGGTGAAGATAGATGATAGAAGGTCATCTCATGCCCAGAGCTCCCCATTGGATCGATGTGCCTAAACTTTCCCATAGACCTCTTTTCTCCCAAACTCTGCCTTAGGTATCACTGCCCATCCCCATTCCTGGAACACTCTCCTGTGGTGTGGTACAGGAGAAAAAGCACAGGCGTGGGTTACAGATGTGTCTGGATTCTTATCCTGGTTTCTCCCATTTACTAGCAATGTAACATAAGTCAAAATGTTCTCATTCATAAACTGGACATCAAAACACTCACCTCTTGGAGACTCAGTACATGTAAAGGTTAAGATCACAGACTTTGAAGCCTTCTTGGATTTGAAGGCCAGATCTGCTGCTTTCCAGCTGTGAGAATTTGAGCCAGTTACCTTCTCTATGCTTCCGTTTTCTCCGTTGTAACATAGAGGTAATGAGTACTGGCCTCATAGGATTACTGAGTATGAAATGAGTTAACATGTGTGGGTATCAGAGTAGTCCCCCGCTGTATATGTGTTAGCTCCTGTTAGGCTTTCCAAGGCTGCGTTGATTAATCTGGAAACCTCTTTAAAGCACCTAGCAAAATACTTTTGTTTGTTAGTGGATTCCAAGGCCAGAAAGAAATTAAATGTAGATAGAAACCACTTAGTTTAGCCTACTGACCATCACAAATTGGGAATCTGAATAAGAAGA